CTTCTGGTTTTACTTTTAAGTTGTTGGAGGTTGATGGGAGTTTTTGTTTTCTTATGATAAAAGGGAGTATTTGTTTTAATGTAGACTAATTTAAAATGTTACAGAAAGGAGAATTTTTCTGCATGTGATAATTATCAACTGTCTAAAATATATCTATAATTTTAGTGTTAAGGCATCTTAATTTTACTTCAACTTTTTTAGAAAATAAAGATAATGTCATTATTTTCTGATAAATTAAGTGAAAATTACAAAAGAAAATCATTTATGACAAGCACAGCAAAATCAACTCATGTCAATTAAACAAAATCTAAGAGATGTCTGCTAACCAAGCATCTCTATTCAATTTCAACATCCTCTCTCCATTTACAAAAGCATGTACCTGGTCCCGGATCTGAACCCAACTGCAACCAGGATTCTTCTTTGTCCCTCTTGACTTCATCAATTCTCTAACCTTGCTTGCCTCATCCCATTCTCCTGCCTCTGCATACATGTTTGAAACCAGCACATAGTACCCACAATTCTGAGGCTTCAACTTGAACAAATTCTCAGCTGCCCAACTTCCCAGTTCGATGTTCCCATGAATCCGGCATGCACCAAGCAATGCACCCCATATATCAACACCAGGTGCAACGGGCATGCTCTTAATGAGCTCCACGGCTTCTACCATATGCCCAGCTCGGCCTAGGAGATCAATCATACAGGCATAGTGCACCTGCGCTTGCTTAATCTTCTCAACTTTCATTTCCTTGAAGTATTGTTTCCCCTTCTCAACCAGCCCCTTATGACTACAAGCTGATAACATCGCTATATACGTAACAGAATCAGGTTTCACTCCATACTCCTTCATGGCTTGGAAGAGATTAATTGCAATATCTAACTCACCTAGCATTCCATAACCTAAAATCATAGTGTTCCAAGATGCTGCATCCTTGTTCACAATCCGGTCGAAGACTTTAGTAGCAAGATGTATTCGTCCACATTTGGTATAAAAGTCCAAAAGTGAGTTAGCAACAAAGAGATGGGTATGAAAATATTTCCTTATTGATAATGCATGGATCTCTTTCCCTTGCTTTATTGCGGCTAGATTTGCACAGGCTGAAATGACACCTACGAAAGTTATCATATCGTGTTTCATACCTATGAGTCCCATTTTGGAGAATAAAATTAAGGACTCTGCACAATTATTAGTTTGCGAATAACTTATTATGAGTGAATTATAAGATATTTTATCCCTGAGAGAAATATCAAATACTCTACGAGCTAAATTTAAACAGTCACATTTTGCATACATATCTATTAGAGCATTGGATAGAAACAAATCTATTCCAGATCCCATCCGTATTATCCTTGCATGAATTTCTTTTCCTGAACAGAATAGTCCTGCTCGAGCACAAGCCGGTAAGAGATTTGTCAAGGTAACAGAATCAGGAATTTCTCCACAAGTTTGCATTTCTCTCACTAGTTCTACAGCATCTAACTCAAGTCCATTTCGAGCAAAATTAGCAACCATGGCATTCCAAGAAACAACATTCTTAATGCCCATCTTGCAAAAAACATTTGATGCTCCTCTCAATTGACCTGATTTTGCATACATATCGACTAACGAGTTTGCAACAAAAATGTCAGATTCAATACCCATTCTTAAGCAAAAACCATGAATCTCCTTCCCAAAATTTAAACATTCTAATTCAGCCAATACTGAAACCAAGCTAGAAATGGTGACTGAATCCGGTTTTATTCCTGTTTTAATCATCATCCTAAACATATCCAAGGCATCCTCATTGCAGTTCATGTAAGCAAAGGAATTAATCATTGTATTCCAAGAAACCTCATTCCTCTCCGCCATTTCCTCAAAAACTTGCTTGGAGGCCTTCGAGTTCCTACATTTCCCATATGTATCAACCAGCGAATTCCCAATAATCAACAGAAGATCCAAACCAACTTTCACAGAATAGCCATGAATTTGCCTCACCATCACCTCATCTTCAAGCTCTGCACAAACCGGCAACAGACTAACCAGAGTCACCATATTTGGCCTAAACCCAGATCTCAAATTCATTTCAGAAAACAAATTAATCGCTTCCAAGCTGAATCCATGTACTGAAAACACTCCAAGAAGAGTGTTCCAAGACACAACATCTCTTTCACGCATTTCGTCGAACACCTTCC